AGTTAAATCTAGTTCCAGGTAAGTCCCACACTGTATTTTCTCAGATTTTTTTAAAATGAAATATCCAGAAAATTCCATAGAAACTCTCTAAGTCAAAATCCTGTCAAATGCAGAAAGTAATCACACTGGAGGAATGAAGAAATAAGTTTTTTTTCTCTATTATAATAATCTTTGGTGTTTTATAATACTAGATTTTTTTTTTTTATTTTTGTTTTTAATTTAAAAAAAAAAAAAAAGACTGGATTCCTGTTTAAAACACACTTTGAAAAAACCTCTCAATTCCAATTAAGCAAAACATTATCTTTAGAGTGACTAAAATCTATTTCAATTTGTATAGTTACATGTCACCCCTAAAACAAACTAATTCCCTAGTGTTGAGCTGAGTTCAGAGCAGGATCCTCTGGATCTTGGGCCCTGATCCTACAATTGTATCCATGTGTGTGGATTCTTGTGGAAGGAGGCTCAATGGTATGTGTTGTTGTTTTACCTAAACCATTTATGCCATGAGAAATAAACTGAAGGTAGCAGATGCAGTGGCCAAGTCTATGTGAAGTTGCCTTGTTCGCTCCATTTCTGAAAAATCTTTTACGGCTTTATTACAAAGCTGTTAAAGAAAAGTTTTTGTATCCTTTATTTAGCATATTTTTACATGTATGCCCATTAGTTAATACTACCAGATATGCAAGTTAAAGTAATTTCCATCCTATAAATTAAAACTGAAAAAATGTAAATGTGAAATTGCACCCCATATCTTCAGTGATAGTATTAATATGATTATAATATAATTATAATGTATTTTATGCAAGATGAATCATGTGAGGTGTAATTGGGAAAGTTATGATTTGCTGAGTATGATTATCCTATTTGTATGCATGTATCATTTTTGGATCTGAAGTTATGAATATTGACTATGTATCTGTGTTTCAAATGTAGTTACACCTGGGTAACGCCCACTAGACAAGATGCTTTCAATCTAGATAGTGGGTGGGGAAGGGCCTCTTCTGGGCAATGGGCCATTAGGAAAAACAAAAGGCCTTAGGAGAAGCTTATCTCCCATCTGGTGAGCCGTTCTATGAAGCTAACACAGTCTCCAAGTAATGGCTGCTATGACTTTATGACTGCTATGATGAGACCACATGTCTCTAGATTCCATCTTGGGATGTCAGTATTTTTCCATAGACTGGTCTGGGAATCAAGCTTTGGGAACAAAGGGTTCCCGCCATATGCAAAAGCTATATAAGGCAGGGAATGACATCATCTGGTGTTCTTCACTCCCCACCCAAGAAGACTCCTGGAAACATCTGAGGACAAAGACTGAACTGGGGGAAGTGCTGGACCCAGGCTAAAGGGATTTTAGCCTGTGAGTGAAAGACCTGGGGATTCCAAGCTGTAAAGCAAGTTCAGCTTGCCCCTTAAGAATCTGCAGCCTGCTTGTTTAATCTCTTAGGATGGGAATCTATTATTCATATCCAGTCTCTTTAGTATATTAAGATTAGTTTGCATTTTTGTTCATTTGCTAGGTAATCTGCTTTGATCTGTTTGCCATCACTCATCACTTACAATCTATCTTTTGTAGTTAATAAACTTGTTTTTGCTTATCTAAACCAGTGAGTTGGAGTGAAGTGTATGGGACAAAGGGTGTTGCACATTCCTCTCCACATTGAGTGGGGGATGTGAATTTTATGAGCTTACGCTGTACAGTTCCCTGTGCCGCACAAGACAGTATAGTTTTGGATTTATACTCCCGAGAAGGTGTGTGCCTGAGGAGCTGGGAGTTGCCTTAGCTGCAGCCTCCTATGCAGGGGCAAGTCAGAGAGTCTGCATGTAACTGCAGCTGGTTGTGTTCCCTACCAGTATGTATGCTGGTGAAAGTGCAGGGTGGAGGGCTTTGCAGCTTGTCACAGAAGTACAGTGTGAGAGGGAGCCCAGGCTGGTGGGTCAGGGGGCTCAGTGGTACTCCAGTTCCAAGTAGCACCCTGGGGGAAACCCATCACAGTAACATTTTTAGAAGCTTTATGGCAGGGGGTCGATTGACTGATTTAAATCAAAGGGCTTTAAATCATTAACTTAATGATTTAAATAGTTTTTATTTTGTGTGTGTGGGGGGGGGGGTTTCCCCATGGGTTGATAACCATTTTAACTTGCTTATTTGCAGCTAAATGTAGCCTTTACACAAAATTGGGTACCTCTTTTTGCTAACTAGGAAGATACATTATACCTATACACATTTATTTAAGATTTGTGACTTGCATCAAGCTGCATTTGGATGGAAATTGGAATTCAATTAATGCACAATCAGCATTTTAAAATGTGGGTTTTTTTAATTAAATTAAACTTAAATGTGCTGGGTACGTAAGGCAAAAACTTTAAACTTATCAAAATACATTTTTGCATTTAGAAGTAACTGATTTATTAAACAAAGGCAGTATTATCTGTAAGTAGATGAATTGAACCTATTGTTTGTGATCACCATCTCCTTCAAGCTTTTAGAACTAGTATATCTCATCTCTCACACCTAGTTTTTACTCCTAGATTGGAAGGGGAAACAAGCTTCCTGCTTTTTCAAGACTCTGCTTTTCGCACCTTTCAGTGAACTAGTCATTGAACTGCAAAAGTTGACTAAATTGAAAAAAATTCAGAAGAGGCTATAACACTTGTACCTAGATGAAATGCTGCAATACCATCTTGTAGACAAGGCAGAGCCATCCTAATGCATTGGCACAAGTATAAGAAGCTAAAAGTCATGTATTTGCTTCGATATGGGCTGTTAATAGGCAGGATGGAACTCCAGCTGGAAAGGCAGATAACAGCCATTTGGACTGAACTACGACCATAACTAAGAAAATATCCCTTTATACACCAGTTCAGAATTGTCTTTGTTTTGGAAACAAAGCATCTACAGTTGCGTGGACAAGCTTTTGAGAGTAGTGAATCAAGATTAACCAACTAGTCCTGGGCAGCAGTCATACTTCACGTTTCCTACATCTGACCTCTTCAGAAGTAGCACTTCTATTTCATTTCAGTGTTAAGCAATGAAACCATTGACATCCTGAGCCAAAAGTACAGGTTCCTTTTGTTCTTCAACATCTTAAATTGTGGTTGAAGAAACACTTTGATGTAGTACTGTCGAAATATCTATATCTTCAACAATTGTCATGAGCAGCCAAATATTGGGATTGGGACTGTTCTTAGTATAAATCTAAATACATACATTTAATCCTCCTTTCCCTATGATTAAACTAAGTAGTGAGTATCACTAGACATACTAGGGCTACACGATGTATTGTAAATACACATGCTTTGTAGAACTTGCAAAATATTGGGTGAACTTCAGTTAGGAGCGAAAAACTCAAATGTACTGAGAAGTCAGTCTAGCTGCTGTACACCAGGTATATTTATAAGGGATAGGCTTATAAATATTGGAGGAAGTACTATACTTGAAGGGGGGGGGAATTAATTCCTTTAGGATTTGTATACCAGAACTCTGTTCTAAAAATACATAAAGAACATAAACACAATAATATATATGCTGACTAAGTGTTTGTATGGATAACATGCACACATAGATACATTTCTTCCCCCGGCACAGATTAGAAAGTACAGACGTGGCTGTCTTTACACTGTGTCTATATCTACTATGAGTCACTGGCAGAAGTTCAGTAGCCAGTATTCTAATTCATTTTGGCTCTTCATATGAACTCCCTTGCCATGTGACTGTCTTTTGTATTCTCCATATTCTTGAAACTAATAAATCCTTATATCCATGGAGCCTTAGCCAAGATAGCTTTTTATCTTTCATTTTTTACAAATCAAGTCTCTTTGTAGAAGAAAACAAATTACCATAATTTCTCACTCTTAAATGACAAACTCTCTCATATTGTAAATTCATATCTCAGAACCAGTATGGAAGACTGCTTGTTAAATCTATACGCTGTGTATTTATAATGTAATACAGTAACTTGCGACAACCAAAAGCTTTGGCTCTTTTACTGCCAAATTTGCGACAAGGGTCAAGGGGGAGAATGCTTGTATCAGTGGTGCAAGTAGGGTGATATGGTCCAGTACGCCATACCAGTAAGGTTTCGGGCTCTCCCGGGAACTGCAGTGGTGAAAGGAGCAGAACCCCACGCTGGTAGCTCCTTTGGCACGGCTGTAATGCCCCCAGCCTCGCCTCCCCACAGCCCTGTCCTCCGGTGGGGCTGCTGTACAGACCCCCCTCCCCCCCAGACAGGACTCAGACACAGCTGCGTGGAAGGGCTGGGGGGGCGGGGCTGGAGGCGGTACAGCCGCACCAGAGGAGCTGCTGGCCTGGGGCTCAGTTGCCAGCATGTCTGAAAAAAACATTCTCCTGTCAGAAGAGGAGACACTCTTCTGCTGGCAATTCCCAAAGCAGGTGTGACTGTGAACTGGCTATTGTTCCAGAGAGCAAGTCCTTCTCTCTTAGCAGCCCACACAGTAGCTGTGCCATGTCCACCCACTGGGAGTGCTCCCCCTGGAGGTAACGTGAGATGGATCATGGGGAGAGGAGAGGATGGGGCCCCAGGTGGGGGGCGGGGCAGGATCACGTGAGGGATCATGTGGGGAGGTCATATGCCCCCCCCCTTTAGCTGGTGCAGTGTACCGGTAAGAAATGAATTCTACTTGCACCACTGGTTTGTATACACCTTGTCACAAAAGTTCTATTTCCCTCTCCAGTGTCATCTGCTCTTATACCAAGTTGTAAACAAAATGCTTTTTTTCCACCAACCCTTGTGAGAATCCATGCTCTTGCAATTATGAAGTAGTGTGACCGGCTGGATCATGGATTTGCTATTTAGAAACGAACCTCTCTGGGGAAACTGAACAGATCTTTTGTTTTTCCTCTTCTCTACATTTGCTTTTGATTTGATTTGTTCTACAGGGTCCATCTGTGTCAGTTGGCTGCTCTTATCTCTCATTGTTGGTCTCTGAAGAGCTAGGATTTATTAGAATGCTAATATCCTTGATCGCTTTATTCACAGCTTGGCCTTGGAGATATCAATCTCTGACTGTAAAGATAAACATGAAAGCTTGATGGGACTCTTAAGATCACTGAGTGGAAAATCAGGAAACTGTGTGTGAAATTGGAAGGTGACCAAGGTAGGAAAATCACTTTCCAGGCAGATGCTGTTTCTTAAATTGCTGCTTTTGAGAAGTGCAGCAAGTTCTTTAACTGCTTGGAGGGAAGGGTTTTTTTATTTGTTTGTTTTGTTTAAATGATGAATACTTTTTCCAAAGACCCTCTTGAGCTGATCTACACTACAAAGCTAGGTTGACGTAAGCATGTGCACGTGTCTACACTTAAATTTGTCTCCCACCAATGTAAGTGCCCCATTATGGCAACAGAGTAGCACCACCTGTGTGGAGCATTGAGCCATGGTCCATGTACTCAGGTCGATGCAGAGTGAGTGTAGACACTGTGTTACCTATGTTGCCCCAACAGTGCTCCATCAGCTGTCTCTCAATACCTGATGCTGACCATTCTGATCACAGTTGTGAACTGCATTGTCCAGGGGTAATCTGGAAGCCCTTCAACCCCCTACCCCCCCATACACTTTAAAACCCCACAGATTTTGAAATGCTCTTTCCTGATTGTCCAGGAGAGCACACCTAGCAGCTCTCCATTGTTGTGTGCAACTGCCCAGCTGACTCTGCCAGCTACACTCTATGCCAGGCTGGAGCACGTTTGGAGAGAGGAGATATTAGATCTCCTGGGCCTGCAGGGAGAAGAGGCTGTGTAGGCACAGCTACGGACCAGCTGTAGAAATGTGGACATCTATGAGCAGATTGCACGAGGGATGCAGAAGGGGTACGGCAGGGATCAGATCCCCCTCCACACCCTCAGAACGCCCGAGCCGGATGAGAAGAGGACTTGGAATGACCTGTTCAGTGAGATCCTGTAAGCCAAGGCTACATCAGACCGTGAGCAGAGGGCCTGGAGGGTGAATGTTGCAAACTGTATGGAAAAGGAAAGCGTGGACAGGAGAAAAGCCCAGGAGTCCGAGAAGGAGATGCACCAAGCTATAATGAGGCCTTTCTGGCAGCGAAGACAGATGCTACAGACTCTTGTGGACCTACAGATTCAACAATCTTGGGCTTGGCTCCCTTTGCAGTTAATGGAGAACTACATTGACACCTCCCTCCCCCCTCTCCCCATAGTCCATGTGGCATCAGGGGGTGCATCCCTACCACACCATACCGAGGACATTAAGTACACCCACAGGTCAGTGTTTATGTACCTAAACGGACATGAATGCTCTTTCCCATTCTTAAGCTCTGTTCCACAAACTTAAATTTTTAATGTATTTGCTTTTAACTTGCAGATTTTTATTTGTGCCGTGTTTTCTTTACAAAATAAAATTCTGTTGTTTGGAAAATAATTCATCTCTATTAGTTCCAACACATGCTGCAGAATGCCTACCGGTACTAAAAGCCCCACTTCTTTGTTGTTCAGTCTGACACAATTCATAGAACCAGTGAAGAGAAAACAGTGCAATAATCATAAATGTACAGCAAGTACCACAAAATTCATAGGTGCATTGACAGTGTTGTATTCACAGATGTGCACCAAGAACCCCACAGTTCCCAACAGGCCCCAAAACTGCAGGCCCAGATAGAGCACAGTATACCCCAATGCCTTATTGTAGCTCATTTCAAACTGCTCTTTCAAAGCCTCACTGAGTGTTGAGCTCTTCTAATAGCCCTTGTCTGGCTGTTCCAACTCAGCAAACAGCTGCTCTACCTCTGCGCTCCACCACAGCAGCAACTTTTCTCCCTTTGCTTCACAGATATTATGCAGGACACAGTTGGCAGCTATAGCCATTGGGATGTTTTCTTCACGGGATCCAATCTTTACTCCTGAGGGGATTCTGCACCTAAAAATTGTGCCAAAAAATTAAAAATTCTGCAAAAGTCTGTATTTTGTCAAAATAATGCAATATAATCACACCAGCTTCAATTGTTTTGGTAATTTATTTAAACTACAATACAGAAAAAAGTCACAATAACTATTCAGCATTTTCTAAACACATGAAAGTTAAGTTACAAACACTTGGTAACTAATACCCTGCATTCCAGTTATAATCCTGGGTTTTTATTTAAATTACATTAAGAACACCAAACAGCGTAAAAAAAAAAAAAAGTAGAATGTTATTTTAAATTGCTCAGACTTTCGAAAGTCATACAGTTTTGCTAATCATTGTCCTGGACGTGGCTGGGTACTTTGGGAAGTGCTTGATTCTGATTGCCTGACATTTTATTGACTGCTTGATAAATGTTTTATTTGCTCTCAGTCTTTTTTTGTTTTGTTTTGTTTTAATGGGGAAGTAAAATCCTGAGCTGTAATCTAACCCCATTTTGACACTTTGGCACAGGAAAAAAGTGAGAGAGCACATAGATGATCTTCCTAGCTGACTCCCTTACTGTCATTTATAAGGCTTTACATCACTCTAGCAATGTAGGGGCCTTAAAACTTTTACAGGTTTTATGCTCCTGGGGGAATTGACTGAGAATGTGAACAGATAACTAAGAATAGGAATATTAACGATGTTACTCGCAGGCAGGCTGCTACATTTCTGCCTCAGAGAATGAGATCAATTAACTAGCAGGCAGGCTGCAACGTTTCTGCCTCGGGGAAAGAGCCTTCCTCATGCATAAGAAAAAGACCTACCCCTCCACGCCTCCAGCGAGCTGCAGTAGCAAGTGAGAGGATCAGAGTCTCTCTCACTTGTTGGCAGGCATGCATGCCCTGGCCCTCTCCCCCTGCAATGATTTGCATCTCTGAGGGCTTGTCTACACTACAAAATTAAGTTGACTTTATCTAATTTGACCTTGAGCCTCCAAATTAATTAAGTTGATTGTGCGTGGCCCCACCAGGCTCATTGTCTCAATGGATTGCATCCTCACTAGCAGTGCCTGCATCAGTGCATCGTGGGTAGTTATCCCAAAGTGCAACTTGCCACAGTGTGTTTTGGGAAGTTTGTGCAATGCCTCATGGGACCAAAATGTTGTTGCAGGGGAGAATGGGAACATTGTGTCGGCATCCCATGATGCACTGTGCTCCTTCCCTCATATCAACGGCAAACAACCCAGTGGTTTTTCGCGCCTTAAAACCGCCATGTGTATGACATAACTCCAGAAGCATGGAGCCTGCTCACTTGTGCACTCTTGCTGTGAGCATCTCAACACCTAGTGCCTTCTCCTGCAGTATTTCCAGAGCCGAAGTAGGGTCCGCCACACAGAACAGTGTTGTCTTGTAAGCCGCCCTGCTGCAAGCCATTGGAAAAAAAACAATCCACAGTTGCTGCTGGCGGTCACAGAGCAGCTGCACTCTGAGTGCCATTTCTGGTCCTGTGAAACAAGCACTGACTGGTGGGACCGCATCGTTTTGCAGGTATGGGATGACGAGCAGGGGCTGCAGAACTTTCGAATGCAGAAGGCCATCTTCCAGGAACTTTTTGCAGAGCTTTCTCCTGCCCTGTGAGTGGCAATCGCTATTTGGAGCTTGCAACACCAGACAGTTACCAGTCAGGGGGGAATCAATTTGGAGTAGGTAAATCAACTGTGGGAGCTGCTGTGCTCTAAGTGTGCAGGGCTGTTAATCGACTTCTGCTACGAAGGGCAGTGGGTCTGGGAAATGTGCAAAACGTAGTGGATGGTTTTGCCGCGATGGGGTTCCCTAATTGCGGTTGGGCGATAGATGGCATGCATATCCCCATCTTGGCACCAGACCACCTTGCCAAAGAGTACATAAACCGAAAGGGATACTTTTCAATGGTGTTGCAAGTGCTGGTGGATCACGGGGCATTTCACCGACATCAACGTAGGATGGTCAGGAAAGGTTCATGACACGTGCATCTTTAGGAACTTGGGTCTGTTCATAAAGCTGCAATCCAGGACTTTCTTTCCAGACTACAAAATGAACATTGACAATGTTGAGATGCCTATAGTTATCCTGGGGGACCCAGCCTACCCCTTGCTCCCATGGCTCATGAAGCCATACACCAGCTGTCTCGACAGCCATAAGAAACGGTTCATCTATAGGCTCAGTAAGTGCAGAATGGTGGTTGAATGTGCCTTTGGTCGTTTAAAAGAGTGCTGGAGAAGTTGGTTGGACCTTAGTGAAGAGAACATCCCCCCCCGTGGTTATAGCTGCCTGGTGTGTGCTCCATAACATTTGTGAAATAAAAGGGGGAAATTTTCCGCAGGGGTGGGCAGTTGAGACAGATCACAGGGCAGTCATTTTTGAGCAGCCAGATCCCAGGACTATAAGAAGAGCACAGCAAGGGGTGCTGTGTATCTGCGAGGCTTTGAAAAGCGGTTTCAATAATGAGTCACAGTAATGTGAGCTGCTTGTCTGCATTGTGCTTTCCCAAACCTTCATCTGCCTTGTATCACTGTCCCTGTAAAGCCAGCCCCCCGCCCAAGCCCACTGCTTCTACTCAGTTAAGAATGTTTATTTCAGGGGTCGGCAACGTTTGGCACGCAGCTCGCCAGGGTAAGCACCCTAGCGGGCCGGGCCAGTTTATTTACCTGCTGACGCGGCAGGTTCGGCCGATCACAGCCCCCACTCGCCGCGGTTTGCTGTCCCGGGCCAATGGGGGCGGCGGGAAGCGGCGGGGGAGAGGGATGTGCTGGCCGCAGCTTCCCACTGCCCCCATTGGCCCGGGATGGCGAACCGCGGCCAGTGGGGGCCGCGATCGGCCGAACCTGCCGCGTCAGCAGGTAAATAAACTGGCCAGGCCCGCTAGGGTGCTTACCCTGCTGAGCCGCGTGCCAAACGTTGCCGACCCCTGGTTTATTTTATTTAACAAAAGTAAAGAAGAACAGAGAAAAAAAAGGTAACCTTGGGGAAAAGGGATTGTAAAGTTGGAACGAGAGAAACATTTTCAGCTGTGTAACATAATGCATTCCAGACCATTAAAGGTCTATGAATGGGCCCCTTTTGTTCCTTGTACCCTCCCCCTGAGTTAAGTGAAAGGGATAATGGACTTTTCACCCATGCCTTATAGAACACTTGGGGGAGGGTGATCCTGCGCCAGGCGATGCTGGCTGGCTGTCCACCAGGGTCTGCAGAGGTCTCCAGCTTCTGTTCCTGCAGT